GATGGAAACCTGTCAAATTGTGCTGATTTCACTTCCGCTTCGATCTATAAGTACTCTACTTCCAATGGAAACAGAGCACTAAATTTGATCAGTACCGGAGTGAAACCGAATTGAGGGTTTCGGTGGAAACTAGACCAGTGTTAACAGTGTCGCCTGTGTACGTAGCTGGAAAGCACCCTATATATGTTCTAACAAGATAGAAGATATATACCTTGTAAGATATATACCTAATTTAAATTTCACAATTGTAATACACAAAAATAATTATAGGAAAACCAAAACTAAAACTTAAGCAGAGAAACAACATAGAAAAGAGATTTTAGAGAAAAACAGATGCAACCTGAGCACTATTTTTACCATGAACTATAATAATACAAGCTTCAGATTAACATGTGCAGTTCGTAAAGGAAACCTAAAAAGAGCAAGGGAGCTAATTACTTCTTTTGGACTATCTTATTCACAAGCATGGTTAGGAGGATATGTTTTACTTTGTGATGCTATTAGGAATAAGCATACACAAGTTATTAAACTACTTTTAACAAACGGTTCTAAAGTTAACAGCACTACTGCAAAATTTAATAATACTCCACTTCATTTTGCTGTTATAAATGGTGACATAGAAATTGTTAAGATGCTTCTAGACAGACGTGCTGATGTTAATGCTACAACTTGGTATGGCACAACTCCCCTTCACTATGCAATTCAATATGAGAAAATAGAAATTGCTGAATTACTTTTAAATCATGGAGCTAACGTTAACGCCAGTACCAAGAACGGTATAACTTTTCATAGTGCAGCTGAGAAATGATATTTACAGATTGATGAACATCTTTTAAATCATGGAATTTATATTAATTCTACATATATCTCTCTCTTTGTACCAGGTGTTACACCATTGTGTTTTGCTGTTCAAAAAGGACATGTAGATGGTATTAAAATGCTTCTGGATAAAGATGCTAACGTTAATGCTGAAACTCGGTATGGCACAACTCTGCTTCACGATGCAATTGAAAATAAGAAAATAGAAATTGCTGAATTACTTTTAAATCATGGAGCTAACGTTAACGCCGGTACCATGAACGGTATAATTATTCATTTTGCAGCTGAGAAATGATATTTACAGATTGATGAACATCTTTTAAAACATGGAGTTTATATTAATTCTACATATATCTATTCTTTTACACCAGATGATACACCACTGCGTCTTGCTGTTAAAAGAGGACATGTAGATGCTGTTAAGATGCTTATGGACAGAGGTTCTTACGTTAATGCTGAAACTCGGGATGGCACAACTCCGCTTCACGATGCGATTGAAAATAAGAAAATAGAAATTGCTGAATTACTTTTAAATCATGGAGCTAACATTAACGCCAGGAACAATAATGGTATAACTTTTTTTATATTGCAGCTGAGAAAGGATATTTACAGATTGATGAACATCTTTTAAAACATGGAGTTTATATTAATTCTACATATATCTATTCCTTTACACCAGGTTTTACACCACTGCATCTTGCTGTTAAAAGAGGACATGTAGATGCTGTTAAGATGCTTATGGACAGAGGTTCTTACGTTGATGCTGAAACTCGGAATGGCACAACTTCGCTTCACGATGCGATTGAAAATAAGAAAATAGAAATTGCTGAATTACTTTTAAATCATGGAGCTAACATTAACGCCAAGAAGGATAATGGTATAACTTTTTTTATATTGCAGCTGAGAAAGGATATTTACAGACTGATGAACATCTTTTAAAACATGGACTTTAATTGGAGAGTTAATTCTACATATATCTCTTCCTTTTCAGGTGATACACCACTGTTTCTTGCTGTTAAAAGAGGACATGTAAATAGTATTAAGATGCTTATGGACAGAGGTGCTAACATTAATGCTGAAACTCGGGATGTGTGTGGCACAACTCTGATTCACTATGCGATTGAAAATAAGGAAAAACTAATTGCTGAATTACTTTCCAATCATGGAGCTAACGTTAACTCCAGTAACGATAACGGTATAACCTCTCTTCATATTGCAGCTGAGAAACAATATTTACAGATTGATGAACATCTTTTAAAACATGGAGTTTATATTAGTTCTACATATATCTATTCCTTTACACCAGGTAATACACCACTGTTTCTTGCTGTTAAAAGAGGACATATAGATGCTGTTAAGATGCTTATAGACAGAGGTTCTAACGTCAATGCTGAAACTTGGAATGGCACAACTCCGCTTCACGATGCGATTGAAATTAAT